TCTCTTTCTTTACCCAGAAATAATTTCTCAAATGAAATATTAATGGTAATGATAGCAGTATGTTTAGTAGTCATTGTATAACTAGGTCTCTGATGAGTAATTTCATTTGAAAGCAACGTTGTAAGCAATATGTATGTGAAAAGTGAAAACATGAACCTCAGATGGAGTAAAATACTTGCCAAAAGTTGTTTAAAAAAAAAGTGTAGGTTTCAGACAGGGTTTCTATGTCATGAGACATGCACATCACTAAGCAAGGGCTATTGAGAGTTTAGGGGGAGGAGTGTAAAAATGAAGAGTCTACACCAGAAGAATCAAGTCCTTCAGTAGGACCCAGACCTTTGTCTCTGAAAAATGTAAACACTCATTTGTTTACATTTACATTGTAGTGCTTCATTTGTCTTCAATAAAATAATAAGATTATTTGGATAGAGAAGAGGGAGTTGTAAAGGGGACAGGAAAGCTGCATACTCAAAAACCAGGAAGAGAATCAGGACTCCTGAAAAACAGGAAGTGAGGAAAGTGAGCAAACTTTTGAGGGGCCCTTGTGGAATGGGCGACACTCATTTGGGTCCATCACTGGCGAGCGTTATTCATACTTGGTAAGGGGTGGGGGGAGAACATTTCAAATCTGACATCATTCTAGAATACAGCTCCAGAAGAATGACAGGGGAGAGGACTGAGAGTCCACACAGCCGTGAAATCATTCTAGTACCCAGGAATTAATTACCACAAAATCATGTTTGTTTTGGTGCAGGAGACACTTGCTAAGTATAAGGACAGATTAAAAAAAAAAAAAAAAAAAAAAAGGACTTTCTGGAATTAGAGAAGTAGCTCAATTGGTAAATTGCTTGCTGCAAAAGAATGAGGACCTGCTTTTGATCCGCAGCACCTGTAGAAAAATCTGGGCAGAGTGGTGCACACCCATAACCCCCACAGTGGCAGGGCAGAGACAGAAGAACGCCTGGAGCTCACTGGCCAGCCAGTCTATCCTAATTTGCAAGCTCCACTTCAGTGAGAGACCCTGTCTCAAAAAACAAGGTGGAGGAAGCACCTGCCGTTAACTTCCAGCCTGTATATATGCTCACAGATGGGCGTACATGAGCCCCCGTACAGCTGCCAAATGTCAAAAAGACAGTTTCCCTTTTGTTAATGGCAACATTATTTTTTTTTTTTCTAGAGAGGAAACGTGAAATCTATCTTGTCCAAACATTCTTTCTTATCTTCCTCCTCTAAATTTAAACACACACAGACACGCGCACACGCACTCGTATGCACTCACGTCACGTTCTCTCTAGTGTATTAAGGCCCACTGTGCAAGGGTAATAAATTACTTGGGGACCACACCTTGACCCTTGTTTCCAGTGTGTTGCTCAACCCAGCTAAACACCGTCACCTGCACCTGCTTATTAACCACCCATACATGTAAGCACCAGCCCTTCCTGCTCTCTCAGAAACACCCTGGCTGCTCATCTTCTGTCTGTTCGTCTTTCTACCTCACGGCAAAGCTCTTCAACCTTTTATGAAAACAGCAAACTCCGCAGGCCACTTGCTGAAATCTCAGTGGGGAACACAGAGCTGTTTGCACCTGTAGCTCATAATTAATTGGCATTCAGCAAGTCACTTTCCATCTCCAGCTCTACTAAGTATGTCTAAGGACAGGACTGAGTGTGTTAAAATACAAGGGACTTTAGGGGGTTTTCAGCACCAATAGAGAACAATCTCAATCCCATCACAATTTGGCCCTAAGAAAACACCCAAGAACTGGCTGGATGAATCCCATCTTGTTTTCCTTTTCTCCCAGGACTGCTTACTCCTGTGGTAGCCTAAAGTTTCTCTGTGACAGTGCTGTACCATAGCTGATGGGCTGTTGGTTTGGCTACCTTCCCCCAAACAGTCTGAACTTTCTTCTGGGTGTTTGGGAGCTCCTCAGTGTACAAGCCTATTTAGAATTTCCTTATTAGTGCACACACGGACTGGCTCTTACTCCTGAGTTTCCGTTTGCATTGTTCAGGGATAGTTGCCTCTCTGAAAGACTCAGGTAAAGTGCCAGGAAAATATTTATCTGCTCATTGGTGCTTCATTTGTGGCCAGACTTGGCCCTTCCCTATTGCAAGTTCTGCCCTCAGGCGCATGACTCATTTGCCAAGCAGCAGGGATCAGCAGTCACCTCCACCCTCACCAGCTGGGAAAAAAACAGCTTTTAGCTCCTTTCCACCCCAAATCCTCTGTTCACTGCCCACTGCCCACCCAGAATCAACATTCCCTGATCATTGGTTGCCATTTTTTTTTTTTTGTAACATTCTGTGGCAATTGCAGACTGAGCATTCTAACGAAGAAGCTAGGGAAATTTCCACTCATAACTGTCATCTTAAAAATGGGCAGGTTGGAAAAATGGGTCAAAGGTTATAGAGCAGAGAAATGTTCTAAATCTAAACGAGAAGTTTATTTGAATCCTGGCTGAGTTTGGCCCATCTACCTTGATCATTTGCTTGTAACCTTTGGCCTTTCCACACACCTAGTTTCAGAGTGAGAAGATTACACTAAGCTGCTGGCTCCAGTTCCTACAGTCATGCAGCTCCTGAGTCATGTTTACAACTAATGAGGCTTTAAGGTCACTGGTCTGTGCTAGCGATAAAAACCAAGTCATCACCACATAAGATATTTACATAGAGGTCTCAAAGCCAAGTCCAAACATGTAGAAGTGTCTCAGCTATGTCGTGGAGACATGAATTAGCAAGGAGTAGCTGTCTGTAAAGGGCTACTATATCAAAACACTGGATTATTATAATTTCATCCACAAAACAATTCATAATAAGGGAAATACCACTAAATACTTAATTACATAATTAAATACACAATAAGGGAAATTTCACTAAAGAAAAAAAAAAAGCACACAGTATGTGAGTACCTCAAAAGAATCCAAACTGTAATCAAGTTTACCTCTCGGAGATAAATACATGTCATAGGAAGTAAGTCAGTACATTTAATCCATTTAGACTCTTGAAGAACTTTAAATAACATCTATCCCAAAGGTTAATTTAAGAAAAAAAGCGAGACCATGAAGTGGAGCTGGGTAGTAGAATGTTGAACTATCAATCATTGCTCTGAATTTGAGCTCCAGGACTAAAAGAAAAGAGGGAAAAAATTTCCCATAGGCTAATGTTACCAAAAATCGTCCTAACTAACTGACACTAATATGCAATAAAATTCCTAAGCTCTTAGCCATTAATAAGCAGCTCACTGCACACCGAGTAGGTGAACATGACCCGGTTTGGTGAGAGCAGCTACAGAAAGGAGCCAATTCCGTTGACATTCACTTGATTCTGAGCTCCATGCCCATTACAGTTCAGACCCATAAACAGGCCCCTTGACGATGATGATGTCTCCCATGCATCAATTTGCTCAGAACAGCAACAAAAAGCTGAATGCCATTGATGTTTCACCGTGGTCGATTCCCACCTTCTCATAAGCAACTGCGGGGTTGCAAAGGCACCGGCATCAGTAGAGACTAAAGCAAACTCTGAAGCAAATTCTCGGAATCCAGAGCAGGTGATAATCACTGGGTCTACATATATAGACAAACATCATTTCCCCAAACTCAAAGTCTATAGAACATTTAGTAACTCAACCAAACTGAGATTACCCATGTCTCGTTTTTCTTTCCTTTTTTAACCAAATATTTAAAATTTTCCCTTTTTTAAATTAAGGACCATCTCATATGTAGAAGCCAAATGTCTTTTGGTTTTCCAGATTCGATAAGCATAATCCAATGCCTCTATGTGATGTATCTGAAGAAATGAATTAAGAACACAAAACAGCACCTTAAACCCTCTATAATTTCAGGGTTATATGAAGCAGTCAGGCAATGAGTCAGCTGCCTGCACATCCATCATGAAGAAATGGGTATTTTTACCTCTGAAGAAATACTAATGTAACTTTTTGTGCTGTATGGCCAGTATTCAGATGCTACTTAAACAAATAGTTTGGAATGTGATTACCGCAGACACGACTAACAATCAGTTACTAAGTTACACATTAGTATATAATGCAAAATATATCACATATTAAAGTTGTTCTTAATCACTGGACTATGAAGGTGTGACCATATCAAGTGGGCTTCCGTAAAACTATCCCTGGTTTAGACTTAATACTCATTCTGTCTCAAATTAAATATTAATCATTTTTTTAAGGTAAGCAAGCTTACTTGTATTTTAAAATGGATTAAAAAGGCAGTGTGGCCAGGTGTGGTGGCATAGCCCTGTCATCCCAGCACTCCAGGAAGCAGCAGGCTGATCACTGTGAGTTCAAGGCCAGCTTGGTCTATAAAGTGAGTCCAGGACAGCCAAGGCTACACAGAGAAACCCTGTCTTGAAAAACCAAAAACCAAAACCAAACAAAACGGCAGGTGTGGTCAAGAGTTAATATTACTGTGCTATGTTAATAACTGGGGCATGTAATGTGTTGTCACATGAGGTGCTAGGCAAGAAAAGCAACGATAGTGACATTCTTCAACTGCGAAAGGAGATGGTAAAGGGCAACGAGAAGTATCCATCATTTGCTCGACTCAGACTTTAGTGTTTTGACTGGGTGTTACTTAAGGATTTGGCATAACTGACTCATGGCAGCATGGTAACTGGATTCTAGGACTATCACATACCTTCACAAAGAATATCGAATACCTAGGCTAACAGCCACATCACAACAGAAAGGTATAAATGGTCTGAATAGCATTTGCCAAATCCACCCAAATTAACCTATTTATGCCTATGGTTGTGGTGAATTATTTGAATGGACTCTCATTACCCAGCCTCTACAAGCCTGAAGCTGCAACAAGCAGAGCTGCTGCCTGAGCACCTAGAGCTTACGAGAAGGCACTGGTCACTGGTATTTTCTATGCACCAGTCTGGTCTTTCATGACACATCATATAAGCTGGAGTTCTTGTAAGATTCTGCATTGTGATTCTTGTTTAGTAAGTGCTGGGTAGTCTGAGAAGAAACACTCAGAGAAGTGCCAAGTTTATTAAAGTGAGAGAATGCCACCCTCACATTGCCACCAAGAAACAAAGACCTCAGGGGCGCATGCACTGAGGAGAATCTCTGGACTGGAAGATACCCTAGAAGGCACCAGGTTCACCTTCCCACCTGATGTGCTAATTCCCACTACACCTCCCTCCAGTGAGTGAGCTGAGGTCCGTCCAGTAACATGGTAACATGTGTCCACCCCTCACATCCGGCCAGCTCTGAATCTGCACCGTGGCAGCAGACGAGGTACAAGCGCCATCTGGTAGTGGCGAGCACACCGCCTAGGCTCAAGCCCCCTTTTCCTATGAAGAAAGGATCCCAGAATCCAGTGTGAAGTCACTCAATATTCTCTACCAAGCACAAAATGTGAAGAATTACTGGGGCAAGGGACTGAGCTAGCCCTCGGACTTTCAGAAGACCAAGTTCCTGGTCCACAGAAGGCCTCTGCAGCAGGTTTCCGGGGCCAGCCATCTCCAGGAATGCTTGTTCATTAGCTCAGAAGACTTCTCTCCAAGGACAGTTAGACTTGCTGTTCCACCAGCTGTAGTTTGGCAGTCTTGACTCGATGGGCTTCTTTGAGGTTCTGAGCGCGGACCTCTGGGTTCGAAATGAACTCTACTTGTTGGATAGGGAACCAGCCCTGCTCCCCATCTGAGAGTCTCACACCTTCCAACCAGCCTGCAGTTACACAGTAAGAGGAATTAACTGCTAAGGGCCCATGATACGTTCTTGGACCTTCTTAATAGAAATTATCCACATCCTGAGACTGAATGAACTAGGATCCTCCAGCCCAGCTTTGCATGGTATGGAAATGACTACTTCAGGTCTGCTGAAGTGTGCAGCCTTCTTTACCACTTTCGGTTAAACTTTGTCCATTAAAGTATTTACTTATAACCTAATCCTTGTACCTCAAAATTTGCTCTTACTTGGTGTGGTTGTTTGAATAAAAATGCCCCACATTGGTCCATAGGGAGTGGCACTATTAGGATGTATAGAGTTGTTGGAAGAAGTATGTGACTAGGGAATAGGCTTTGAGGTCTCAGAAGCTCAAGCTAGGTCTAGTATGGCATTCATTTTTGCTTCCTGTGGATCAAGATGTAGAACTCTCAGCTCCATCTCCAACACCATGTCGACTTACAGTGCTACCATATTTTCTGCTGTGATGATAATGAACTGTAAACCAGCCCCAATTAAATGCTGTCCTTTAAAGAAGTTGATGTTTGACGTGGCCATGGTGTCTCTTCACAGAAGAAAAGAAAAGAAAAAAAACAAAAAACCCTTGGGAACAAAACTGCTGCAAATACAATTACTAAAGTTACACTGAGGCCACCCTGGAGTCCGTCAACCAATCAGATTGGTCTCCTTCTGGAAAGGGTAATTTAGATGTACACAGAAGGAAAAGAGCCAGAGGGTATGTGTGCAGAGATTGGAGCCTGTCAGTTTGGGACAAGCTAAAGAAGACCCCTTCGTAGAGGCTTCAGAGGAGCCAGCTGAAACCTTGATGAAAGACAGCTTGCCTCCAGAACCTTGAGAGCATAAATTATTTTGTTACCAGCTGCTAAGGTTTAGTACTCTGCTATGGCAGCCCTAGAAAGCTGGTACACCTCTGTCCTGCTCTGCTGGCCAACCCGCTGCTCATCCATTCTCCCTCTTACCATCGCTGCTTTGCTGAGTCACCATCACCACATCCGCCTTCTCTAGTGCCAACTCATCATTCTCCCGGGGCTTGTAGGCACGGAGGCACTGAACTTGTGGGGAGTCTTCGGAAGACAAGAGTGAAAGTTAGGAGCAGTAACACAGATGAGGACACAGGTGAGGAACTGTGAGGAAGTGTGGGAAGACTTGAGGTAGAGACAAGTGTGGGATTATACACAAAAGAATCCATTGGCCCACACCTTTCTTCCCAACACTCAGGAGGAGAGGCAGGGGAATCTTTTTGAGTTCTAGGCAAGCTGGTTTACATAGCAAGTTCCAGGACAGCCAGGGATACATAGTGAGATCTTGTTTAAAGAAACAAATAAATAAAACCGCAAACAAAATAAAAACCAGGAAAAAAAATGACAACAAAAAAAGAAGCAATTGGGAAAATTTTTATCATCTACCAGGGATCAAGCAAGTCAATAAAGAAATAGAAATATTAGTGTGGGATCTAATTTTTAAACATTCAACTTTTCTAGAGAAGATGACTGGAAAATATCTGTGACCATATTTAATTACTCATCATGACCAATATTTGAGGTTCAGTCCTTCCCTCTGAGATGTTCCTGACCCTTTAGTCTCAATGAAGTTTGAACTCCTTAGAATTGATTGTTGGAGAGGAACCGTGTGTCCCTTATCTAACTGCCTTATGCACACTTCGCTTTACTTGGGCAAAGCATGGATTGTGTTCCAAAGGGAGCAAGTATGTTCTGAGCTAAATACAACTGACCATGACCTGGAAGCACAGACTCAAGTTGCCATGAATGACATACTCCACTGGGAAAGATGGTCACAGAACAAAAGGAAGGCATAAAGCAATATGTTTGCCAACACACTGGTGGGGTCCTCAGGTGAGCAGTGTATAGCAGAGGAAACCATCTCTCCTCTAGGTTGTAGACATCCAGTGTTCCTTTGATATGCCTTGGCTCTGGCTACTCCTGTGTGCTCTGGGTAAGCAGACTCATCTATCTGCCTGCGGTCAGACCAAATCTGTTCTGTTCTCTCTTGTCGTCCCCATTACAGCTACACTATCTTCCCTTGTTTCCTTCTTACATCTTCACTCTCGGTAAATTAAGTCCAAATTATAACAGATAAGACTTAAAGGAATATGTATTTTGAAAAAAACAAACATTTGCCTATGGCAGTGAATGCATGAGGGAAGGTACTACCATGGTGATTGAGTTTTTAAGGAGATGTATCACGAGTGTATAAGCTTCTACTTCTAACAGTCTATCTTGAAATTCTGAGGAAAAGCAATAAACAGAGCTTTTCAGAGTTACTACCCAGCACATTGAACCCTTCATCCAAAGGGGACCACACACAGACGTTGCCATTTTCTCTGTTATATCCCTACTCACTGTAACACTCAAGCAGGTCCAACTCTTCTCTGGGCATGGCCAAAGCAGAGATCCACCGAAGCTTTTCACTTCTGAAAAAAAAAAAAGTTAAGTCTTAGCTTCAGTTACAGTCTAGGGACACATGGGCTGAGGGCCAACGGGGGGAAGGCAAGTGGCAACGGGAAGGCTTTGTCTAATTCAAGGACTCCTAAAGGCCAGTGGGAACCTGCCTGGTTGGAAACACAGTATGATCGTGCACTATATATTATGTATCTTGTTTATCCTTCCTTTCTCTCTCCAGGCATATCTTCCAGAAAAAGCCATAAGGTGAACTGTCAGTCATACACATGAACATTTTCTGGAAATCATACCAAGCAAAACATTCATCTGTTTAGACATGACCACTTTGCATGACTCTTGATCCTCACTCACCTCCCTCCAATTAAATATCTAAGGTGACAATTACTATTTAATAATAATTAAGCCAAGGAGCTATATCCATTTCACTGTTGTTGCATAATGTAATCTTAGCCTAATTTGTGATCTGAAGGTTTTTATATTATCCTATGCTTCCCAATGTATCTAGCTTATTGAGAATGACACTTTCACTTTTCCAAAAGGATGCTGCCCGGAGCTCTAATGAACACAATCTACTTCTTGGTATTTGTCTCCGATGAAATCCAGAACACAAACTCATGTAGTATCTTCATTGTTTCATGAGTGGAGATGGGAACTATTGATCCCACTTCTCAGCTCGATCCCTTGTCTTCCAAGGGATCGACCTGAGAAGCATCCACATCACCTGGTGCCGTAAGCCACAAACGTGTTTAACAATCTTACAGAGATGCTCCTCCTGTGTCCCTTACAGCACCAGGAAAGCTACTGGGTATTCTTTAGCTTGCTATATTGTGTGCCAGATTCTACAGTTATCATTTCAGCTCTCAAAACGTATGTATATGCGAATGTATTCATTTGTTATTATCATTGGAAAGATTACAACTTAATACTATAGATTTCTGCTCAATAGAGGATGAAGCTGGGAGACTAAGGAAAAAGGGAACACATACAAGCTGTTTTTTATTTACATAAAAGCCTGCCACCCGGTGCTGGGTATAAGGGTGAGCTGGCTCTCTCAGATACAGCTACCCTATTCCGTTCCTTCCTTGGCAGCTCATCTCCCTTAATGCTGTCCCACAGACCTTGTGCTTTTTTAAGCACATGCTGTAAAGCAGATGCTCAGCCTCGGTGGCAACTTCACATCTTCACCCCACAGTGAATCTTTTTCAAGTTAGCACTTAGCTCTAGGGACTTGAGTCTCTATGAATGGTCCCCACTCCAGAAGTGCTAAGGGCACAGTCTCAATGTATTTCTGTCCAGGGACACCCACCCCCAGCTCCTGGACCCAGCCCCATCTCACTGAGTCTCAGTGCAGAAGAGGAACTCAGCTTGCATGCCCTGTGCATTGTGCTGCAGAAAGAGGCGGAAGAAGTTTTTGTGAGGTCCATGCAGCTTCATTTCACACTTTTCCCCTCGGACAGAGGAGAATGGAGCATGATCAAATACCAGGAACCGGCTGCCCCTGCAAGACAGAAGTCTTTTAAATCTGATTCTATAGTTCTTGTACTTCATACACCTTCACCCTCAAGTCCTGGATTCAAACTCCCTGCCCTTAGCTTTTGCCAGACTGTATTCATATAAAAACCACACAAGGACTTCAACTAGCTCCCAATACAATAACCTCAGTGTGTCAACCAACTATTTAGTGCAGTAGTAATCTTAAGGTAGTGAGTGTCACTATCTTAAGAAGTGGAAGAAATAAGAGCCAATATTGACTTTATAAGGTCCCAATGACCAGAGTTTTAGCTCTGAAATTAGCCACGTAGCAGGACTGGTTAATATGCTGGGCACAACCCAAAGAAGCCACAAATAAACATATTTAAGAAGATGATGTTTCTTTGCTGCAGTTTCCTCATGTCTGTAGCAGGACAGGTTTGGGAACACTAATCCCCACTTCTGTTCTCTAAGCTGACTCATGACTCAAGACTGCGAGTTGTCTATCTGAAAGGGGATTCATTAGCAGCATGTCATTTGATGTCCCACTAGCCCTCTCCCATTCTTTGTATGCCCTGGCCTCCCATCCCAGCCACTGACTCTCGGGGCCGGGACAGCAACAGGCAGTCATTGAAGAGATGAAGGTGGACTGGACGAGTAGTCACTTTCCTTCTCAGCCCTGGGGAGACACTGGGCTCAAGGGCCGTCAGCTCCCCACTCTTCACCAGCCATCGAGATTGTGAAATAAGTGGGAAAATCTAAAGAATAGGAAGAGAGAAAATGCAGGTCAGGAACTTCCTGTCAGTCCTGTCTAGACTACCGATCACCAATTCCGGATCTTCGTTCTTGCTCTAAAGCAGTTGTTCTCAACCTTCCTAATGCTGCGACCCTTTAATACAGTTCCTCATGCACAAAATTAATTTGTCACTACTTCATACTGTAATTTTGCTACTGTTATGAATTGTAATGTAAACATCTGATGTGCAGGAAATCTACATGTTACCCCCAAAAGTGCTGCAACCCACAGGTAGAGAACCACTGCCAATCAACCCATCCAGATTTTGTTTCTCTCAGAACCCTCTAACTACACTGCACCGGTGTGGATCCTGTGCTTACATATTCAAAAGAAGGGGACAGTTTGAAAGTGATGACATGGGAGCAGAAGTCTGCGAGCCCAAGCAGAACATGTCAATGAACAGGCAAGGCACAACACAACATGATAAAAGCCAAAGGATCATGGACAGTTATGTTATCTGCTCTTTCCTTGGTGATGATCAGAGCCAAGACAGGCAGTCAGAGTCAGAACAGAGTTGAGGATATGGAGATCAGGGTGGGGTCTGCTTGGAGCTGGGGCCTGGATAAAGAGCTCCAGTAGAACTTGGAGAAGGACTTCCCTTCTCTTTCAGGAAAGTGATAGCATCTGTAATGCACTGGGAAATTCAATGTTGAAGATCAATTTTAAATTTGTTTGGACAAGAGATTTTGAGGGTTTTGGCATGTTGATTTGGTTAGGGTAAAGGTGATCTGATAAAATAAGTGAGTCAAACATTCTTTACCTCTAAATTCTTATATGGCCTTATTCTGGGAAATTCCTTCTGCCCATTTATTGGGTGCTCCCTCTCCTCCAGTAACCACTGCCCCTCCCCCTTTTCTGATAATGCTAACAGTTTCCTTATGCACATAAACACTGATTTATCTACAGATCTGCAGGCTCTACTTTGACACCAAAGGTAATAAAATTCACATATAGTTCTAGGCTCCACCTATCAACATGTATTGTAGACAGAAATGATCATTTGCATAGTCCAGAAATGGACATTAGGACAGGAAGAGGCACTGGAGGCTGGAGATAATATAAGCACAATGACTCTGGTAGAGAATGGTCTGTAGGACATGCTAAGTAGAGTCACAGGCAGGAGGGTGTGCCTGGGACAGCTCACTTTGCACTCGAACTCGATCTTCTGGCTCAGATAGATGAGCTCCTCTGTCCGCCGCATGCTCTGCACGTTGTTGTTGCAGTCTCGGATCAGCTGAGGGTGCAGCAGGGTAAAGAAGGGGAAGATTACTGCATTAGAGTCTTGAGCTTTCAGCCCCCTTAAAGACAATCCTGACAGATGCCTGAAAACATCAGCCTTTTCTACCAGGCAGGAGTGGAGTTTAAATGAAGGGCTGTGGTATTGGGAACATAGTTGCTAGACATGGCAGATGAAGAAATAAATGTGGTTGATGTAAGGAGGGGGCCCTTCCTTTAATAGGGTTCCATCTCCCTTGCTCTCTTCAGTTATGAGTATCTGGATGGGGGAAGACTTATCCCTGAATGAGTAGTATAGGTTATTGGATATGATGGCTCCCTCCCTACCTTCTCCAGGGCATGGTGTGCCTTTGTGGCCTCTGCCTCTTCCGAGGAGCCAGGCTGGGTTCTCTTCAGAATATTCTGTAGAACAAATAGTGGACAAGAGCCAGATGGGGGGGAAGGATGGTTAAACAGGAAAAGATGAGTGGGGGATATGTGATGCAGAAGTCAGGGACACAGTTCCAAAAGCAAGGAGTTCTGAGAAAGATGTGGGTAGTTGGAAAAGCACTCACATCCTCCACATGATGTGGAAACTTCACATAAGAATAGATGATCTTTTGCCTCAAAACTTTTCAAGATCATGTCTATGAGTCAAGGGCAGTGGACCAAAGACATATCTGCTGTACCTGGAGCAGCAGCTTGAGACGAGTGATACGCTGGAAGGGCAGTATCAGAAAGGACTTGAGAGACAGGCGTTGGCAGATGGGATCGCTCTCCAGCTTCTCCAAGACATCTCGGAAACTGCCATTGCTATTCCTGTAAGAGTAGCAAGCCTCGGGTGAAGAGGAAGATGGGGAACAAAGTGGCTCAGTGAAGGCATGGGGAATGGGAGTTCAGTGGAGGATGGCTCCAGATATGACGGCAGAGAGGATCTGATATGGGAGTGGGCACAGAACATATACTCATGGGAGAAAGCTCTGGGCTGGGGACTCAGTCGAGGTAACTGCAATGTCCACTAAGGGAATGGAGAGGGATCATTCTCACATGAGGCTTTGGAAGGTGCGTTCCTGATAGGTCTGGTTGGTGACATAAGGCAGGTAGACTCGGCGAAAGTCTGGGGCATGATCCAAGACAACATCACACACTTGGAAGGAGAAGATGTTGTTCTCGAAGTTTTCTTCTAGGTCTGAAAGGAACCTGCACGTATTTAAAAAGTCTTGTCAGGTGCTGGGGCCTCAGCCTTATATATTCAGTGCATGTGACTTTTGTTTCCATGAACCACTAACTCCTACTGACTCTCCTTAGCTCTGGGCCCATGCTATGCAGTAGCCGCCTCCCCAATGCTGTTATGGGTTTATTTCTGATTTAACTTAAATAGAATTCTAATGTGCTATTTCTCCACTGCAGAGCACACCCCGAATGCACACAAAAATCTCAATTTAGGAAGCACTTCTCATTCATCTATATTAATAGACCTGTGAACCTTCATGGTTTTTCCTCTTCTTCCTAGTCTCCTTCCTATCCCTGAAGCAATCATGGAGGGAGCCCAGACCCACTTTTATCCAGAAATTTTGACAAAGTGGAGGAAAGCAGGTGAAACCTCAGTGGCTAAGAACAGCAAGGTTGAGAGAATGGAGTTTGGAAGAAGTCTCACGTGGTGCTGACATCTCGTACATCCTGCAAACGAGAGAAGAGCCACTGGTGATCCTGGTTGGACAGGGTGGCCCGCAGTTGGTATGAATGTTGGAAATGATCCACAGCTATGTTTAGACTGCGCAGGTAAGACGCTTCTGACACAATCAGCTCGAACTTGGCCTAGGGGGTTGGAAAGAGGAAGACTAATGAATACTTTTTTAAACTTTCTTACCAGAGAGTTCATAAAACAGAAGTTGCTGAGCAGTGTTTTAGGGTTGAACGCAGAACTAGGTGCATCTTCTCATTACTCACAGGCATAAAACTTGACTTAGTCTAGCAGGGGACTATTTGAATATGCAAGACTCAAAGTAGGGCTGAATAGCGTGAACAGGGTCTCTGTTTTCAAGAGACTTAAGGATACATCCATACACATACACAAAACAACTCTGGGATATCACAGATATGTTAATTTGCCAACATGCTAGTAACAATTTTACCAACAAAACAAACTGTGCTATACCTCATAATAAGGTGTTTAATACTGTAAATATAATGAAATTTACTTTTAGAAAAGAAACAAGTTGAGCATTTCTACAATTTTTATGGAAACAAACAAGAAATGAAACCAGAGGGACAAGTAGGAATGAGGCATGAGGCCTGGTGGGTTACATAAACAACACAATTCAATGTGAGTTTAAAGAGATGTTAAAAAGGTTATAAATACAGGAATTAACTGAGTAGATTTTCCTTTTATGAGAGTAACATTTAGCCAAGTGTGGAAAAGACTAGAAGAGGGAAGAACCATGTTGGGAAATGAGGTAAGCTGTCTAGAAGGGAGAAGAAGGCCCATCAGTCATATGCATGGGGAGAAGTGGATTATTCTAACCACCAAGCAGGCAGAGTTGGAAGATGCTGCTTATTTGCTACAAGTGGGGCATAAAGAAAAAGAGCCAAAGCCAACACCCTGCTTCTGAGCTGGGTGACTGTTGGATGATGGAATCACCAAATAAGCCTGAGTGCTCTGAAGTAGGAACAGACTTAGAGAGGAAGGTGACAAGCTCAATTTCAGGTCTAAGGCAATGGGAATAAAAATAAGCAGGGTATGTGAGAAAAGATGATTTAAAAGGGAAACCCAGGACCTAAGAATGTGCATGGAAGTTCCAGCAGGGGGTTCAAAGACTCATAGACATAACCAGTAGACTCCTTTCCCTTTTCAGCATGGGGCTTCAGCAAAGCCTCTTGGAAAGAAAAGTAACACAGAAAGTTGCTGACCACTGAAATAGCCAAGCATCCAATCGAACTTTCTGTACAACCCCAAACCATGACACTGCAAATTTATTCTCAACATAATGTTCAAAGACCACATGGCTTAAAATGGCTCATATAACCTACTGACACTTAGGATTTCCATTGTTGTTTTGTTTTTTCATACAGATATAGTGAACCCGCCCGAATACATACAAAAATACTCTTCAGAAAACATAATTTTTGAAAGGAACAGAGTCTCTGAAGGAATTATGTAGACATGTTTTATGAAATGAATATGTATGTATGAAGAAGTGATGCAGAGGTCTCTCTTTTCAAAAAGTCAAAAGGGATAAGGGCTGGAATCAGGACCCTTGTGACTTCCTAGCTTGCTGAAGACTCAAGAGAGTTCATTTCACCCTCCCATTATTTGATCAATAAATATAGGAACAGGTTAGTGATTTTCTAAACACCCTTACTTTAAAACTTGAAGTGAAAATATATAGGTTGTCCAAGATTAAACCATTAGTTGAAGCCATGCCCGCAACATCTAAATTCAAATAGTCAGTATTTTCTGGCTGTTCAGTAGTAACCACTTAACTCTCTTGTTCTCCCAGTAACTCTTTATATCTGTTTTACAGATGGGAAACAATGGCTTAGAGACGCAAGTGATTTGGCCAAAGTCAAGCAACATATATTAGTGAAGGCATCACGTCTAGATCATTTGTTTCAGAACCTAATTAGTTAGCTATTACTCTATCCCATGGTGCACTATTTTCTCTCTGGGAAGAAGAGTTCTGCCTCCTATTTCACACAGACCTGAAAGCAGAAACTGCCCGATGACCAAGCAGGGACATATAAGAGCTTTAGCTGAGTATGTTGGCTTGCTTGAAACACTTGTGGAGGTGTTGAGGAGATTAGCATTCACACTGAAGCCTGTTCATGAATTTACATTCACATCCCTCTCGACAGACTCAGAGGCATGGTCACTCTGAATGAGCCCAAGCCAGTACAGGAAAGAGTAGATACACATTCATGAATGAGGGAAGCAGGAAATATGCTGAAATTCTGAGAGTAGTCCACATTCTTCAGCATGGCAGTGAGCAGTCAGTGTGTATACAGGTGAGTGTGGGGTGGGGAGAGCCTGCGCTTGGTGGCAGAGGTGAGGAGATAAAACATTGGCAAATATGACTTTGGTCCTCTCCCCTGCCCTGCCCTGGGTAGTACCTCTTGTAGTTTTTGATCTTCGTGGGTCATGGAGAGCAGCACTGTGCTATTGCGCACCACAGGGATTTCCTGCCAGAGCGAGCCACTGGAGGCCATGGAGAGGCGCTGGAGGTAGGAGTCGGAAGAGACCAGTGCCTTTCGACGCTGCTGGGGGGAATAGATCCCAGGTGCCTCAGCCAGGCTGTCCAGCCGCTGCTGGCTCTGAATCTCCTTGTTCAGAGCATCATCGCTGTACTCCTGATAAAGTATCTGGGCTATGGGTGAGGATGCATGAGAGAAGGAGAAAATCCTGAGAAAACGAAGTGAGTGGAAGCTCACGGCCAGAAACTGCCATCTGTAGCTGACCTCTGGACTCCTTTTTTTCTGGACCCCACCACTTTATTGCTGGCAGTCCCAAGTCCCCATCACATTTTAGGAAGAAAACACACCACAGCCTAGAGATCTGTTTTGAAGCACTCACCGTGGTTGATGAACTTGGAGCGACGTCTTGAGGGACCCACCATCCCCTCCTTTGGTTTCTTCTCCCTGTGGAGTAGGCAAGTTTTGAGATGTTTATTGCCTACGAGATAGCAGGCCTCCAAGTGAGTTTAGATGAGGAAATCTCTAACCTTCCATATAGAAGCTAGGATGTCAGGATAGAATGAACAGTTGCTTTAGCCTGTTCCCACTTATGGGTCCTTCCATTCAACTCCTCTACCTTACCTCAAAGTCTGGGGCAGATCCTGAGGACTTAGGGAGAACTTATAAATTCAGTGAGGCATGTCAAACAACAGCCTTGCTTTGTAACTCGGGTCTTTTGGATACACATGAAAGAGACTGGTGGACAGCCATATGCCTTTGAAGGACAAGTGCCTCAGACACAACAGGCAGAGCTGGGTAGGGGCAGGCACCTTCCTTCCCTGTGATCCTCATGCCTTTCTCTTTCATGCCTTACTTTCTGGAGATAGAAGTATCAGAAATTCTGGGTCCCAGGTCCCTTATCCACTGAAGTCCTACTAAGGAAATCTTAGTGTCACCAATGAAGATGGTTCAGCTGAGCTTGCGAGGAGACAGGACAACTCACCGGAAAACAACAGAATCTGAAGAGCCAGGAGGTCTTCCCTCACCTAGATTTCTTCCATCTGAAAAGTGAAGTGGGTGACACAAGAGGGCCATTTTAGAGAGAGTGAAAGGATGAGTAGGAGTCACTGATAAGCAGAAGCTAGACAGTTCTACTCAAATCTGGAAGAGAAAACAATACCAAAGACAACCGTATTCTAAAGCTCAGTAATCACTGTGTTCTTGGCCCTCATGTCAGGATAAGAATTCCAGAAGACATATCAGCTATGCCCACAGCTTTCATGCAAGATGGGAAATGCACAAAGAAAGGGGTACCTAAGTTCTTTAAGGGGGAGAGCAGAAGAAGTAGCAATGGAGGGAGTCTGACAACTTCAGGAAGACGTGGACTCCAGAGAAGTAAGAGGCGGAAAGGTCAAAAGGGTGAATCCCATTCTCACAGGATCACAAGGTCATGAGTTCTAAGTTATTGGTGACTGTGCAGGTAAGTGAAGCTGCGGAGAACAGCTTCCTGGAGAAAGAAACAGCAGGAAAAAAGCTCTGCCTAACAAAGACGTCTGCTTCTCACCTGAAGAGCTCTCAGGCAAAATAGAAGGTCTGCGCAGGCCTTGCCGGCTCCAGCCCTTGTGCTTGTTGGATGCTTGGCCAGGAACAACCTGTCCAGTGCTACCCTCTGATGTTCTCGCTGGATCCCGCCTGTGTGGCCAGCTGGATGCCTTCTCCAGTTGGTGGTGGATGGGTTTTTCTGACTGCTTTCTTGGTCCGAAAGCTGAACTCCTTGTGTCACTCAATCCCTCCTGAGGGGCTGAGCTTCTAAATGGTTCTCTCACTGGAGGCTCAGACTCTTCAGTGAGCTCTGCCTCATCGTTGCTGGTGGGTCTCTGAAGCTGAGGGATCCAGGGAGTGGTAGGAGAAGAAGGACTTAGAAGGTTTGTCATGTTGCTGAAAGCCAGGCCAGCAGACATTTCACTATTACTTTTATTGGTGGGAGCCAAAGATTCTGTTGATCTGCCTGTGGCCGGAGGCCAGGAGGTCCGTCCAACTGAGAGAGTGGAGACCGTCCAGTCTTGGCCAGTGGGTCTCGGATTTGCTTGACCCCTCGAATGTGTAACTCCTCCCTGGATACTCCTGCTTCTCTCCCTGGACTTTGGAGGTAATGGGGGTGGTTCAGGGGAAGGGTCTATGATGGGGACTGGGGGTAGAGGCCTGTACATCCTTGCGATATTAGAGGAAGAGATGGGAGACTGGCCGGGCTCAGGCATGTCAGGAGTTGGGGGTAATGGTTTGTTGTATCTTATTCTGGAGGGGATGGAGGTCTGAGTGTGGTGAGGGCTTTCTGGGGTGGACGGCAGAGGTCGGCGCTGCCTTGCCACAACAGAGTCAGGAACTAGTGGGAACGTGCCTTTAGGAGATCCATGGCACCCTGAACTTATGGTCAATGGAGGAGGATGACTGTGCCGCTTCAGGGTAGGAGCTACTGTATGAAGAAGGCCATCTCTCTCGACTATGCAGCTGTAGCTATGTCTCTTTCGTGGGGGAGGAGGGGGAAGAGGTTCATGTACCCTTATATCCATGGAGACAGGGAGTGGAGAAGAATCATTCGCAGGAGAGCCTATGGCAAAGGCTGAGTTCTGTGGGGAGCCCCACGGCTGACTGCCATGAGGACTGCTGGGCCTCTCCGGATTGGAAGGGTCTTCTTCAGAGTCCTGTCTCAAAGCGAAAACAGCAGCAGAGGACTCTGAAAAGATGATACCATCCCTACTTCTTCTGTCTCTTCTCGGAATCACAGAGGCACAGATGGCAGGTTTGGGGGGCCTCTGCGGTAATTCTGAATGAGAGGAAGAAAGTGACATTCCCACAAAGCCTGGGGTCTGCTCTGTCCTGTGGGATCCTGGGAACGAGTTGCTTCTTAGATGTTGGCTGACTCCATTGCAGCTGTTGGGAGGGCTGTGAGGGCTGGCCTTGTCAGAGGTGAAGCCTGAGTCCTTGTTGAGTTTTGCAGGTACTGGAGGAGTCTCACAATGAGTTGGAGTGTCAGCTGAGAAAGAGGCTGCTAGGGTCTCCTTTCCAGGAAGGACAACTGGAGAGCTAACAGGTGACAAGGTAGTAGTGATGGGGAAGACTTTGGCAGGACTGAGCGGGGGTGAATCTTGTGTCCCTGGAGGAGTCACAGATATACTAACAGAGGCAACTTCAGTCCCCTGGATGGACACTGTCTCCTTACTCAGCCTGAATCCTTCTTGCTGGCTGTTGTGAGTCCAATTATCAAGGGATTCTTCAGTAGCAAAAGAGGCAGGTGAAGAAATGGGTGGGTGAGAGCATTCTTTTGGCTCCAGTGCAGGAAGCAGAGCTTGGGGGATTGGTTCCTCAGGCACAGGCTCCCGCTGAAGCTGCCTAGTGTCAGCCACAGAGTGAGAGACATCTGCAAACAATGTCCCTGGAGAGAGAACCTCAGGAGCTACCAGAGCCTTTGGAGGACAATGCCTGTCCTCTCCTGTTCTCCTCCCTTCCACTGCTGCCTGTCCACCCCTTTCCCAGTGCCCTTGTTCCCTGTCACCTGAGTCTACAGTCTCCTTTTGGTCCCTTAGTGGGATCACTTTTTCTGTTTGATCATGATCTTCCTGCTTTCTACTTCTATTCTCTGATATCTCTACTAACCTTTGACCCTCTGCATTCTGAGAGTCAACACTCCTCTCTTCCATCTCCCTTGATTTCCTGTCCTGTCCCTCCTCTTCTGTCTCTCTCTGATCCCAAACCCTCCTTTCCCTGTCCTCTTGACCCCACTCACTATAATTCACACCGTCTAATTCACCACTGAGCCCCCGACTTTCCCGTCGTCCTCCAAGCAGCATATGGTTTTGGACCTGTTCCTGCTTCCATTCCTCCTCATTACCATTAACCTCCTCTCCCACCTCTTCCTGATCCCCCAGAAGCCCATCAAAACAAATATCTTCCCTCAGAGTTCCTTCCTCCTGAATTTCTACTTCCTGTCCTTCCTGCTCCTCCAGTCCCTGGGCCTCTTGAGGTTGGAGGAGGCCTTCTTGCCCTTGATGTTCTTGTGTGTCCTCCAACAGCAGCTGTTTTCCCTGCCTGAGCAGTTCAGTTCCATGGCCCTCACACTGATCAGGCTCACCAAGGTGCTTTTGACAGGGAGGCCGAAGTCCTCTACGGATTGAGATGTCTGAAGAAGTTTCTTCCTCTTCTTCTGCTTTGCTAACTGCCAATGTCAAAGACTTGAGGTCTGGCTGCAGTTCTGCCTCCACTCTGCTGTCTAGTTTGCTCGATATTTCCAGCCATTCATCCTGTACATCACAAGCCAAGAAATCAGGGGCAGCTATTGTTTTTGACAGTCTGTCTTCAAGTTTCTGGGGTACCACTTTCTGCTGGTCTGGAGCAACACAGGCCTCAGCCACAAGGATTTCCTGGCTTCTCTCCACATCTGAAGAACCTTTATTGAAGAAAAATGTCATGCTATCAAGTGCGTGGTCACTCATGTCCCTTAACTTGTTTGCCTGGTTCATCAAGGGTCTGTGTCCATCTGTCCACTTATAGGATGGATCTTGGCCTTCTTGAGCTTCGGGATCCAAGGCAGGGATCTGACTGCTCCTCATGATAGGTTCAGGGATAGCTCTAAATTCTTCTAGGGCAGGGATGGGTGAGGATGCTCCATGTTCAGACTCCTCAGCCTCCATCAGGGCTGAATCCTGAGGAAAAAGAAAAAACAACTTTCTAATGCCTCTTCTGGGTCTGTGTACACAGGGAGAGATTATGAAGAGGATGAATTAGTTCTTTGGTTCTATTTAAGATCATTCTTCAAGACAGGTTTTCTATGAAAGAAGTACTAGCCTTTATGTATGATTATTTAACTTCATTTATTTTTAAAGTAAACTACGCTACAATTTCCCTTTTCTTCTTAAAGTTAATTAAAATTTATTTTTATTTATATATTATATGTATGTGCATGCAGTGCCCACAAAATCCAGAAGAGGGCAACAGATCCCCTGGAACTGGGGCTATGGGTGATTAATACGGTACTAGGAACTGAACCCTGATCCTCTGAAAGAGCAGCCAGTGTTCTTAATTGCTAAGCCATCTCTTTAGTCATTAGGGACTTAGGGGGGTTGGGGAGATGGTTCGGTTGGTAAGTGTAATAAAGATTTACCTAGAGAAATGGAGGATGGTTTGGTTGGCCTGATATACATGCTTAAGAACCTTACCATACAGGCAAAAATGAATACTCATGTGTGTCTATAACCCTAATATTCGGTAGTCTGGCACTGGGCTTCCTGGATAGCCAGTCTAGCCAATCAATAAGTACCAGTTCAGTGAGAGATAGTCTCAAAAGATAAGGTGAAGAAAAACAAACAAGAACAACAAGGCATGGTGGAGAGCCTTCAAGGAAAATATCTGGCATCAATTTCTGGCCTCAACAACATACACATATATATGTGTATGCAACACACACACACACACACACACACACACACAACCGAGGGACCCTTTAAAGTACAGGACAATCAGCAGTGACCAAGACAAAGCTCCTGCTGGATCTTGTGGGAAAAAGTGATTACAAACAATTCAGTAAGCACTAAAGACCATTATCAAAGAGTTCCAGGAACTCCCAGTGGTCACTGCCCTCTCAATTCTATTATGCCATTGTCTCGTTCTCCCTGTCAACTCTCTGGACTCTCAGTGTGACTCAGCCTCAAATAATTACCAGACACGATGGCTGACACACCCTACATCTAACAGCTCAGAGAAGTAGTGTCAGGAGTGGAACCGTCCTCCTGAGCTGCTAACATGGGATTAAAGTAGGTCATGCTATTATAGCCGGTGTGCATCAGATGAGTCCTTTACACAGAGTCTGGATTTTGCCCATCTTCCTATTTTTACAGTGTCTAGCAGTGCTTTCTAACTAATGAGCAATTTTGTTTTTAATTAGAGACAGCTGTTGAGAATGGAAAGATGACCCCACTTACTGTGCCCAACACGGCTCGTAAAGCTGTGCTACCTTCATTACGACACTCCTTCTCACCAGGCTAACTCCTCTCACTACTTCCCAACATTGTGACCTTTACCCTCTTGTCCCCTCTTCCAAAAAATTCAAAAAACAATGGAGAGATGCTGCTTCAATTTATTACAATTCACAGCAGCTTCCATGTCTACTCTCTATCCTCCTCCTTTTCCATGCTCATCTTCTTTACCCTGTCTCCTCTAGGCCATGATTATCTCTCTAGATACAATTCCTCACTTTGTGGTGACCCCCAAACCACAAAATTATTTTCATTGCTACCTCATAACTGTAATTTTGCTACTGTTATGAATCATAATAAAAATATATGCATTTTTTCCAATGGCCTGAGGTAGGGTCGTTTGACTCCCCCCAAGGGTTTGAGACCCACAGGTTGAGAACCACTGTTCTAAGCATTCCCAGCATCACTAATTTTCTGAATATCTAAAACAGATTCTGACTGTGTGCTGTCTTCATAGCCTCACAACCCACCCGCTTCAATAGGCGCCATTCTGCCAGTATCCGCTACAGCCCCACTTTTGGCGGTGGCTGTTACCAGCACTACGCACATCAGTACTTTTCTTCTTGATATTTATGCCATTATGCTGTTTTGATTTACGCTTTGGCTTTCTAATTCCTCAAATGGTTTAAACTATATTTCTATTTCTAGTAAATAAAAAAAAAATTATAACTCACTTTACTTCCCCCTTGTATTTATACCATTTCAGTCATATAATTATGTGGTCTGATTTAACCTCAATTTCAACCAAAAATGACAAGCTGTGTGAGACATGTTTTGTTCAATTGCCTACATTTAGCACAACACTTGGTCTATAGTAATTGCTCAATAAATATTTTAAACATAAAGAATAAATCTTATCTGGGAGTGGTGGTGCACTCCTGCAATCCCAGCACTCTGAGAGGCAGGGGCACGCAGATCTCTGTGAGTTTGAAGCCAGCCTGGTCTACAAAGTGAGTCCAGGACAGCCAAGAATACACAGAAAAACCCTGTCTCAAAAAAAAAAGAAAGAAAAGAAAAAGAAAGACAGAAAGAAAGAAAGACAGAGAGAGAGAAAGAAAGAAAGACAGAGAGAGAGAAAGAAAGAAAGAAAGACAGAGAGAGAGAAAGAAAGAAAGAAAGAAAGAAAGAAAGAAAGAAAGAAAGAAAGAAAAAATCTTGTTTCCCTCCTGGCCAAAACTTTCCATTATCATGCTTTCATATCTTTGCACCTGGATCACAGCCAAGCCCCAGTCTCCATACATACAGTGCATTCTCCATACAAAATACCACTTGTACTTTAAATTCCTTGGTATCTTCTGACTAGCCTTGAGATAAACCCAAACATTCAGCAAAGACCAAACACACTGTGCAATCTGGCCTTTGCCTTCTTTTAGCACCTGCCTTTCCCCTCGGTTCTCCATTTCTTTTCTCAGCTACAGGCCTTCATATGTGGTGCCCATGCTGGAATTCTCTGCTTCTCCACAAACACACATAGAACTTGTCCAGCATCTCCCAGATGTATCAGGATCTCCATGTTATACACACCCACCACCGTGTCAACTGTACAGTCCCACTATCTAGGGTTACAGTAGCATTTCCAAGCTACCTCGGGATCTCTGTGAGAACACACTCTGCTCTGCTAACTGTGCAGTCCTCTCTACCTAAAGGTTTATGGTTCCTGGAAAGATGTACAATTAAAAAAAGTATGTTTCAATTTTTGATTGATTCATTGCTTTTTGATTCATTGCTAGTTTTTAAGTCAACTGTAGGAATCGTTTAATCTATTTGAATATCCTATCCCTTGTCGGTAAGAATTGGGGAAATTGTTTCCTTCACAGTTCCAATGAAGATTAACTGATACAATACAAAAAGTTCGTTGTTATCTTGAAAAGCCATAGAAATTGCAGATATTGCTGATCTGAGAGACTGAGTATGTGCAGGAAAAACAGAAGATCGTAAGGTGCAGAGAGCTTTCTAGAAACACATAATTCCACTCAATTTGCAGATAGCAAAACTAATGCTCAAAGACTCTGTTTCTTAAACAAATGATAAAATTATCCTGAACCACAGATTCCTCATAGGTGTCTACGATAAGCACCCAGTCATCCACCCACAACACAAATGAGGGTCCTATGAGCCCAGGGACCCCTTACTGCACCCAGCTGGACAACTTTCCGGTCTACTCCAGGTATAACACGGAAACCCACCTGTATGAGCGTCTATTGTAGTCATGCTGAGTTGCTATGTACACACACACACACACACACAACAACACAAAAACCACATCACACATATACACACACCACAGTGACTTACCTACCCTTGCAGTCTCTGCAAGAGAATCTGACACAACTAAACAAGCAGGTCCCTAGGCATCTTGCAGATGTGGTAGGTGAGAAGTTCTTGGTCACCTTACAGATGCAGATGTTATCTATATAGGACAGGTAGATGTGATTCACATCAATGTGCCTGGGCTGGGAAAGTTTTAGGTCCTTTGCCAGTTAACCAACAGTGTGGTATGCGATCCGCTCTACCTAGCCCTTAAATATAAAACACGTAAATGATATGTAATGTGACAGTATTCTCTCAGCCACATGTTAAATAACATATTTGCTCCCTGATACCTTCTGAAACTTGCTTTTACCTGCCTTGGAAAACTATGTGACAAACCCTGTTATCCTTATCGCTGGCATCTTACTGTCAGGATCCCTCTCCCCCAACATCATCAGAAAGTCAAAAAAAGGACTCCCCATATTTATACGTGAGTTTCTGCCATAGCCAGACTTCATCCACATTCACTATGTGCTATGTGGATGTTTCCAATTCTGATCAAGAATGCAATGGACGTCTACAACTACATCTTTATCTTTTTAGAAATATAGTAGTTGCTGGGAGGCGGTGGCTTACCCCTTTAATCTCAGCACTCTGGAGGCAGAGGCAGGGGGGAGTCACTAAGTTGGAGGCCAGCTTGATCTACAAAGAGAGTTCCAGGGCAGTCGGGACTATACAGAGAAACTCTGTCTTGAAAACCCAAAAAGAAAGGAAGAAAGAAAGAAAAGGAAGGAAGGAGGGAAGGAAGGAAGAAAGAAAGAAAGTAAATAAGTAATTAAGTAAGTAAGTTTAGGGCCATACCACCCTGATCTCATCTGATCTCAGAAGCTAAGCAGGCCGGGCCTGGTTAGTACTTAGATGGGAGAAAGAAGTCATCTGTTTATACACCATTCATCCCAGAGTTAGCATATATCCTTAGTTCCTATACCTAATTCTACCTTAGTAATCACATGCAAACAGGCATGACCCAGCTAGAACACTAAAGGAAATCTGTAAAACATGGTCTTATTCATATAAAAGCATTAGATTAGATTTAAAACAAAAACAAAAACAAACCACCCCGTTCCGTTAAGAGTTGAAACATCTCCATATCCTTCTCATCTGGGGTGACTAATCACTATTTATCTGCGCATGGGCAGAGACAGGGCACAGCATCGCCGGGAACTGGCTTCCTTCCAGACCGGAGACGTTCCTGTCTTCAAGCCCCCACAGCGCATAACTTAAGAGACAAGGCTCCAAGTTATCCCATTAACAGAACACAGAAGACCTCCAGTCTCCCACCGAGGCACCCCCCGAACAACACTTTAGCTCATGTCCATTTCTAATCGCCAGGTTAAAAAAAAAAAAATGATTTCAAAAAGACCCTTCCTGTTGGGATTGCTTCTGCACTTACAATGGCATCTGTACTCGTGCCTACAGTAGGAAAGCAATCTTCCACCCTCAAACCAAAAGATAGCCTCTTAATTTCACTTAGCTCATGCGACTACCACACAGGTGTGCGCACCTTCTGCGTTTGAGGTTGCTACCCTCAGTATTCCAAAGGCACCAAAACAAGGGCAGGATGACTTGTCCGACCAACCCAGTAAAGAATGGAATAAACAACTTTTATCTACACTCTAATGTCTTAAATATCGATTGCTTTAGAGGCCAGATGGTCTATAGAACATTCTAAGTGAGAATACTTATGTCTTAGGCCCACCTGTGGCCATGGGGTCATCCACTCAGCTAAGGTGTGACTTGTTTGTCCTTGGCATACAAGATGACATTGTTTCTGTGTACTTTACAGATAGTCTAAATAGCCAGCTTACTCTACACACACTGCAGGTAGGGGGTCCTGTCCATCACCTGTCTGTGTCAATACCATTCTGTTCAACACCATCTCATGAGAGATTCCATTTCTGTCCACACCAGTGTAACTGACTATTCTAGACACCACAAGTGACGTCTTCTTGTCTATCCCAAAGACAGACAAGTTCATAATGTGACCACAGACAACCTCAGACACATCATATTATGGGCAGCGTACCCTGTAGGGAAAACCGATACTGTAACTTTGGATATAGCTGCAATTTCTGTATCCTTTTGAAAAGAGGGATCCCTTAGCATTTCTTCTGACTTCTCCCCCGACCCCTTACATTCCTCTTTTACCACAGACTCTGTCCCCTACTTGCCACCCCACCGCCTTCCCCCTGCGAGTCCTTTCAGTGTTCATAGTTTCAGCAAATGATGACTGTTTTGCTAGAGCCTAGAGCTTCCATACCCAGGTGTAGCTTAAGCAGGAAGTCTGGGAAGAGGCCGCACTGGGGGCTTTTGAAGTAAAGCTGAGAACACAGTCGGGGAGCAAGAGAGGAAGGAAGCCGAAAGGAAAACCTCCCTCTCTCATCCTCCCCTGTTTGGTGTGCCCTTCCCCCTCAGTCTGACACAGTGCTGGCCAGAGTTCACTGTTAGGCCGACTGGAGGACAAGTCCTGGGAACCCAAGATCCAGGAAAGCGGGGGAGGGGACTGAGACTTGAAAACTAAGGCCCCAGGATTAGCTATCCCAGGCCAGTTCTGCTCAAAGGCTGAAAGACTTTTGTAAAAGATGCTCAGAACGAGGGCTCTGAAAATGGGCTCCAGCACCCGCGATCTGGCTGTCTGCTCTAAACAGCTCTTTTACACGTTCCTAAGAACCTTGTGCCGAACCTTGTGCCGAGGCCAACAAGAAGTTCGCTATCTATATACAGGTAAATGGGAGAGAGGGGACTCAGAGCAAGGATCCCTGTTTCAGATTCCAGAGTCTCAGTTAACAGAGGAGAGAGGTGTGTACACAGTCGTACGCATGTAAATGCCGTGAAGATAACGAAGCAGGCCCCGGCCTGGTTACAAAAGGAGACACTTCCAGGTAAGGAACAGCCTAGAAATTGAAGCTCAAAAAAGCTAACTGGGGAGTTAGCTTTCCCCAGAGGAAAAAGCCTTTGGGGGAGGAAAAAAAGTTCTGATTATTGGCCCGGGAACATCGCGGGGCAGGCTGCCCACTTCCAAGACGCAGACCTGGCTGGAAAGAAAACTTTTCCAAGAGGCCATTCCTTCCGGCTCCCTTCCTCTTCCCGACCAGGTACTCAGCCCCTCACTCGAAGGCCGGCCCACTGGCCCAGCCCCCCATTTCCGGAGCCTGCGCCCCGGGACCAGGTCCCCGGGGAGGCCTACTTCCCCCTTCTTTTCCGCCCCTGCCTTCCTTCCTCCCGGCGGCACGGCCACCCAGAGTCCCGGGGCTGAGAAGCGAGGAGAGCACCCACCTGGTCGGAGTCACATGCTGCCCCGGGCCGGCCCGAGAGTCCCCTCCAGGTCCCGGAGCCCGGCGCGGTCCCCAGCCAGGCCAGGCCGCCCTGGCGCCCCACCCGCGGCCCGCCCCTGCCGCCGGACGGGAGGGAGGGACCGGCTTCTCCTAAGGAAGTTTCAGGTGAGGAAACAGGGACACACCTTCCCGGGGGAGGGGCGGCCGCCGGCCGAGCTGGGAAGAGCGAGCTCTGCGCCGCCAGGCTGTACCCACAGCACCCGCAGGCCGTGGCCGTCCAGGGCTAGAACCCCGGCAGGAGCCACCCGGGGAGCCGCATGAGACGAGCGGACGCGGGACTCCCCGGGGTCCCGCATGCCCCTGGACGCCCCTGAGTGTCTCTTCCTCCGTGGGTTCTCTTCGGGTCTCCATCTGAGTCTCAGCGGACCCGGCTGACTTTCCCGCCCTCGAGTTTGTCTGTTTCGGAAGATCTGTGATTGCCCGTGTGTGTCCTTTACCTTAAGGACGCAAAGCAGTTTTCGCTTTCTTGATGTTTGTCCTGGGATAAAGGGGTGTCTCTTGCTCAGGTTCTTCTGTCTCTCTGACTCTGAGCTTCTCTGTCTCTGTCTCTTCCTCTGCTTCTCTCTCTCTCCCTCCCTCTCTTCATTTGGCTCCTAAACTTGCCTATGTCTTTTTTGAATACCGCCTGTTTGCTTCCATATTCCTGAGTTCATTTTAAGATCTAATGTCCTAGTTTGTATGGTCTTTCTCTGCTCTTTCCAATATTCTGAGTGGGTTTGTTTATGCTTAAGTCTTAAACACACACACACACACACACACACACACACACACACACATACACACACTCATACAGCTCACGCCCTTACCTAGGGACAGGAACTTTGGATGTTCTGTCCATAGGCTCCCTTCCCAAACTCATTCCTAGAGAATCTTAACAGGCTCTTTGGCTGTCTTTCTTTCAGGAATATGCAAACTGCAAACAGCTTCGTCGGTAAACTGTTCCCTCATCCCTGTGTCCACCGGCTGCTGCACTGATCCTAGGAGAAGAGGTTATGCAGTTGTTTGGAACTCCTGTAGAATAAAACTTTACTGAGGAAGACTGGCCTCTTCTCTGGCAGTCTTGAAGCAATGCTGTGTTCAAAAAATGTCCTAGTTCCGTCATGCTCCTTTGAAGGATTAAACTTTAAACAGTTTAGCTAGCTTAGACACACTCTCAATTGCCATGAAGTATACAGGAAATAATGGGAAATGCCAAATCTAGGATCCAGCCATATAAGGGCAGGCCAGCATGTTTCATAAACCCAGCAAAGGCATAAGGACAAGGAGTGAAACGAATCAGAACATTAAAGCTGGTCAAAAGTTTAAACTCATTCTAAACTGGGAAAGAAAACTCATAGAATCAGAAGGTCCTGATCTCTACTGGGTGAGCACCTTTTGTCAACTTCTGATCCAGATGTTGTTGGTCTCTGACAGCTTCCATAGTGCCTCTTGGGCATAAGCCAGTATGGTCAGGGTCCTGGGCATTCACTTTTCTGCCTTTGGCTCTCCTTAATGTCTGCTCACCCTGTTTTCTCTTCATCTGGCTCTCACAGCCTGAACTTCCTGGAGTTTGCTGATTCTGAGCTGGCAACATTCTAGCTTTTTAAGTGGCTACCCTTGTTTCTTTGATCTACTGCTCCTGTCCCTGGTTAAGCAGGGAAATGAACTGACTCCTTAAGGAGTTCACCTCTCCTTGAGCCTGCCCCTATCTTCCGGATATTTGTGAATATAAAGACCAGACTAGCTCTGCTCACCTTGAAGACTGAGTCTCATTACTTAATTCCTCATTTTCTTCTACATTTCTTGGTGCCTAGACTTTGTCATTCTGTCCTGAGACTAAGAGACTTTATGTAGGTCCATATTTCCTTTGAAACTCTTAGATTAGATTAGAGAAAGAATCAGTGCGGCATGGTAGTGCACACCTGTAATCCCAGCACTCCAGGAAACAGAGGCAGGCAGATCTCTGTGAGGTCGAGGCTAGCCTGGTCTACAAAGTGAGTCTAAGACAGCCAAGGCTACAGAGAGAAACACTGTCCCATCTCAGGGGAAAAAAAAAAAGAACAAGAGAGAATGATCAGTGGGAAAAGGATGGGACATAGGTTCAGACAGATGTAGACTTGAATCCTTGAATTTTACCTTTGCCAGTTATTTGACATAATCATGTGGGATGTTAACATTCTGGTGCTTTGCTTTCATGTTCATATGCATTGTTTCCTGCTGTCATTAATAGTAACACCTCACTAGGTTGCTGTGGCAACTCAAGAAGGGATATAGAGAAATCACTTACGTAAGCATGCTATGTGAGAAGATGGTAGATATGGGTTATTTTCCTTTCCTAAGAGGGCCTGACAGTTATGTGTGTGAAATGAGTTTATAATAACAGAGGAAAATAGGTTCAGAATAGAGTTATTTTTAAATTAGAGCTGTATTTGGTGAAGAAAAAATAAGCACAGGCTCTGGAATTTGAAGCCGCTTTAATCAGAGAAAGTGTCCCTGAAATCCAGCTAGGAGTGAGCAGAGGAACAAGGAACCCCCCTGTATTGTTCTAGACATTAAGACTAAATTGTTTGGCAGTAGGAATGCACTAGTTTTTTTTTTAATTTTTAAATTTTTATATTAATCACAGGTTGTTTACTTTGTATCCCAGCCGTAGCCGCCTCCCTCATTTCCTCCCAAACCCACCATCTCTCCCTCATCTCCTCCTTGCCTCTTTCCAAGTCCACTGCTAGGGGAAGTCCTCCTCTCCTTCCGTCTGACCCTAGCTTATCAGATATCTCCAGGACTGGCTGCCATGTCCTCCTCTGTGGCCTAGCAAGACTGTTCCACCCTCAGTGGGGGGAGGTAAAGGAGCCAATCATATAGTTCATGTCAGATACAATTCCCTGTTCCCCTTACTAGGGTACCCCCTTGGTTATTGAGTTACCATGGGCTATATCTGAGCAGTACTTCTAGGTTATATCCATACATGGTCCTTGGTTGGAGAAACAGTCTCATAGAGGGCCCCATACCCTGATATATTTTGTCCTTGTGGAGCTCCTGTTCTCTCTAGGTCATACTAACTCTCCCTTCTTTAATATGATTCTCTGCACTCTGCCCAAGGTTTGGTTTATGGTCTCCGCAGCTGCTTTGATACACTGCTAGGTAGAGTCTTTCAGAGGCTCTCTGTGGTAGGCTTCTGTCCTGTTACTTGTTTTCTCCTACTTCCCTGTCCATCCCATTTGTCTCTCTGTGTTTATCTTCTTTAGGTGCACATATTTTAGTATGTTTATCCTATCTTATAGGTCTATATAAGTGAGTATATGTGGTGTGTACCTTTCTGCTCCTGGGCTACCTCATTCAGGACGATCTCTTCTAGATCCCACCATTTGCCTGCAAATTTCATGATTTCCTTGTTGTTAATTGCTGAGTAGTATTCCATTGTGAAAAGTACCACAATTTCTGTACCCATTCCTCCATGGATGGACATCTGGATTGTTTCCAGGTTCTGGCTATTACGAATAAAGGTGCTACAAACATGGTGAGCCAATGCCCTTGTTGTGTACTTGAGCTTCTTTTGGATATATGCCTAGGAGTGGTATAGCTGGATCTTGAGGAATCACTATTCCTAATGGTCTGAGAAAGCACCAGATTGATTTCTAAAGTGGTTGTACAAATTTACATTCCCACCAGCAATGGAGGAGGGTTCCCATTTCTCCACATCTTCTCCAGCATGTGCTGTCACTTGAGTTTTTAGTCTTTGCCATTCTGATGGGTGTAAGGTGAAATCTCAGGGTCATTTTGATTAGCATCTCTCTCTCTGATGGCTAAGGATGTTGAGCATCTCTTTAGGTGTTTCTCTGCCATTCTATATTTCTCTACAGAGAATTCTTTGTTTAGCTCCATACCCCATTTTTTAATTGGCTTGCTTGATTTATTGCTTTTTAATTTCTTTAGTTCTTTATATATTTTGGATTTCAGGCTTCTGTCAGATATAGGGTTGGTGAGGATCCTTTCCCAGTCTGTAGGCTGTTGTTTTGTTTTGATGACTATGTCTTTTGCTTTACAGAAGCCTTTCCATTTCATGATGTCCCATTTATCGATTGTTGCTCTTAGAGCCTGTGCTGTTGGTGTTCTGTTCAGGAAATTGTCTCCTGTGCCAGTGAATTCCAGGCTCTTCCCCACTTTTTCTTCTAATCGATTTAGTGTATCTGCTTTTATGTTGAGATCTTTGATCCACTTGGATTTTAGTTTTGTGCAGGGTGATAAATATGGATCTATTTTCATTTTTCTGCATGTAGACATCCAGTTGGACCAACACCATTTGTTGAAGATGCTGTCCTTTTTCCATTGAATGGTTTTGGCTTCTTTGTCGAAAATCAAGTATTCATAGGTGTGTGGGTTTATTTCTGGGTCTTCTATTCAGTTCCGTTGATCCACCTTTCTACTTCTATGCTAATACCATGCTGTTTTTTTTTTATTTTTTATTTTTTTTTTTTATTACTATTGCTCTGTAGTACAGCTTGAGATCAGGGATGGAGACACCTCCAGATGATCTGTTGTTGTACAGGATTGTTTTAGAAATTCTGGTTTGTTTTTTTTTTTCATATGAAGTTGAGAATTGTTCTTTCAAGGTCTGTAAAGAATTCTATTGGTATTTTGATGGGAATTGCATTGAATCTGTAGACTGTTTTCGGCAGGATGGTCATTTTTACAATGTTAATCCTACTGATCCATGAGCGGGTGAGATCTTTCCATATTCGGATATATTCCTCAATTTCTTTCTTCAGAGACTTGAAGTTTTTCTAAAACAAGTCTTTCACCTGCTTGGTTAAAGTCACTCCAAGGTACTTTATGTTATTAGTGGCTTTTGTGAAGGGCGTGTGTCCTTGATTTCTTTCTCGGCCCTTTTGTCTTAGGTATACAGGAGGGCTTCTGATTTTTTTTTTTCAGTTAATTTTTGTATCTAGCCACTTTGCTGAAGGTGTTTATCAGCTGGAGGAGTTCTCTGGTTGAATTTTTGGGGTCACTCATGTATACTATCATATCATCTGCAAAAGTGAAACT